TTTTTTTTTTTTTTGCGTGCATGCATATAATATAATTATTATAATGCAATACTACTCAGTTTGTTATTTTCTTAAGAATTAGTAGTATTTTTCATACATGCACTTATAAGCACATATGTTACTACCAATATTATTGCTTTTATATACTTATATTTATATTGATTAAAATCTTTAATACATGTTACTTTATATTTTATACTCTAATTACATAAAAATAAAAAAAATGTTAAATTCTTTTATAATAAAAATTAAAAATTTCTCTTTTTAAATAATGCTAATTGTAAACAAACTTTTATCATCCTTTATAGTAATTTAACACTCAAAAGTACATTTTGAAAAGATTGGCCAAACATAATTTACTTATTAAATTTTGCAAAACGTACTTCTCAAATAAATTGGTCAAACACAAACGACTAATTTTCAAAAGTATTTTTACGAAAAATACTTATGAACAAAAAGTACTTTTTAAAATAAGTACTCACTCTTGTCAACAATAATTGACCAATTTGCTTTTTTTACTTATTGTGAACCTGAGCTATTAGTTTTGTTGAAGCATAGTTTTGTTGCAGCAGCTTGGGCAAACGGGCTCTGTGTGACACAATAAATGTGCATTCATTTCCATTACTCCTTTACCCCTCCACTTTTCAGATCCCCCAATTAATGAAAGAAGACACCTCACTGTAATATTGGTGATTCGTATGTGAAATTACAACAGTAAGTGGAGTGAAAGCAGCCGCCGATACAAATCTTTTTCCTCAGAATACTACCGACGTGATGAAACCTCCTCTCCACATGGCCCTACCCTTGCTCTATTTTCCTTAAAGCTATTCCTTTTTCATATATTCTGCCACCCAATGACACTCCAGAGGTGACCAAATTCCCTCTTCATTCTCACAAATCACCATTATAAAAATTGGACTTTGGACTCTCTTCCCAAGTCTCATTCTTTTTTCAAAAACCATAACATCAGATTCTCTTCTCCAAACCCAAATCGAAACCATATATTTCGCTTTGTTTTTGAAATTCTGATTTGGATCAATGTCGAAGAATATATTAGTGACAGGTGGAGCTGGGTACATTGGGAGTCACACGGTGTTACAATTACTGTTGGGTGGTTACAAGACAGTGGTGGTTGATAATTTGGATAATTCTTCTGCAATTGCTATCAAAAGGGTCCAGGAACTTGCGGGTCAATTTGGTCCTAACCTCTCCTTTTACAATGTACGTTCCCTTTTCCTCATCCATAATCGTGGGTTTTCTTGAAAATGTCGAGTCACATATATCTGGGTGTAAAGATTGGATTCTTATTATAAAAGATTGGATTTTTATTTGGTTTGGGTTGAATTTTTTGAATTGATTTAATGTTGCATCTGTGTCTTAATCAACTGTGATGATTTATGGTTTATCATGTTTTTTGCTTCTTCCAATGTTAGATGTGTACATTTGTGTACTTGGATTAGACAAATAGCTAACAATGCAAAAGCTTAAAGTGGAAATTAAATTCAGAAATCTATTGAACTTGGGGAAATTCTCTGCTCGGAAGTATTGAGTTTGTAGTCTTTGTGGTCAATGAAGTGGGGGGGGGGGG